ATTTCTTCTTTAAGAAACAGAGTAGGGGAAGTAAAAGGTTAGGACTTGATAAAAATAGCACAAGGAAAAATATTAAGCAAGAATGATGATCACACCTAATGTAAATGCTCACATATGCTGCACAGCTGCGCCGGCTGCTGCGACCCCTTTTGATGCAGCGATTCTACCGGACTTCCAGACCGTGAGTACAGTCTTAGAAATAAAAGCATAAGGCTCATATCAAAATGCATTACCGAATAATAGACACATCTTTTGCAGCACGATCTACGCTGGGGGAAATCACTGGACAAAGCCGGTGATGTGCTCCAGAAATTAACTGCAAGCCCTGCGTGGTGGGAACTTTGTGCATTCATAATGGACATAAACACAAAGAAAAATAACAAGTAGTCTATAAACTTTAAACTAAGATCAGCTATAATTCAAGTGTAGGTGCAGGCCAGAAGAGGGCACCGAGTCACCGCGTGCTTGTGGGAGTGGAACTCAGAACCTCTGGAAGAGCAGTCAGTGTTCTTAACCCGAGTCATCCATTCAACCCATACGTGATTTTCTTTATTTAAAAAAATAGTCAAAATATGGCGTCTTTATTTCATAGAAGGGGCCATGTTTTAGGTCAGGTTGATTATAACAAGTCCTTTGAACACAGTAAACAAGTGTATTTGATTTTTAACAATGTTATTTTATTTAAACTAAATTTTACTCTAACTTATAATATTGACCTGAATCAAACAACTAATATTTGATTATTCTTTTTTTACTTTTTATTGCTTCTAAATTAGGGTGTTTTTCAAAACTCCTATTTATTCATTAATTGCACTTTCATTAAACTTCAAAAAAAGAAAAAGGAAAAAGATAAATAGTTCTAAATTAAAAGGAAAAATATTAAAATATGATATATAATACTTTTTATCATATTCAGTCACTAAACTTTATAATTTAATATCTTTTATATCAACTTGTAGCCATAAAATGAGCAAAGGACAAATTTATATTTCTTGCAAGTTTTCAGAGGAAGAAAATGACGGAAAGGAATAATCTGTTAGAAACAAATGCTGCAAGCGTGGGGACCAAGACGTACCACCAGCCACACATAGACACCTCTCTCTCCAGAATAGACTGATGCCCTGCCCCTCTCTCGGCCAAGTCACTCCCTCTCCACCAGAGCCATCTCAGGGCCTTCGGTAAATCTGGCTAATAAGCTGATGACTCACCACAGGGTCTCTCACCGTAGGACACACCACAGGTGCCCTTTGCACATGCTCACTTCTCCCATTAGGTAGGTTCCTGGAGACCCATTCCCTACTCTGAGGGTCCCTGTTAACTGTAACCTGACAAAACCTATCACCTGGAGCTAGGCGGCTGGACATGCCTGTAGGGCATGATCTAGCTTAACTCAAGTGAGAAGAGTCACCTGAACTGTGGGAGGGGCCATTCTCTGGGCAGGGGACCTAGAGTGTAAAAGGAGTGGAGGCTGGCTGAGTACCCTTTCACCCTTGGCCAGGCTGCCTCAAGCTCCGGCTGGCTGCTGCCCTGGCTTCCTGTAATCCCCTTTTGTCAGTAGAGAAGTAACTAAGGCATTTACTCCCACTATTACGGGGCACAAGGTCCATATCAGTGCTTTACTGTAGAATAAAACGAAGTCACCGCATACAGGGTGCAATGCACCCTTATTTGCCTGAGATGGTCCTGACTTTTCCTGTGGGAAAATATTATTTTTTTTTAAATCATTTTCCAAGCGTACTAACTGGATAAAGTAGAACCTAACTTAAAACCTTCAGTCGATTTACAGTGCGGACAGCTGGAACAGGGGCTGCAGAACTAAACAGAGTAGAAAAACTTAAGGTGAAGGCCGAGGGCAGAGCGGGCAGCACCACAGACTCCAGAGCTTTGATTCTTCAAGGGAAAACATGCTCGCCTTAGAGTCTGCTCAGGGGGGAGACATCTCAGCCTGGGACCAGCACTGCAGGGACGCCAGGATTTCCGAAACCTTTTCAGCATGTGTTTTGCTCATCTCCAAATATAAATCCAAAAATGCTCTGAAATCTGAAAGGTTTTGTTGTTGCCATTATAGATTTGGAGCATTCTGAATTTCAGATGTTTGAGATGTCTAATTAATAGACCACATGATGAGCATCCCAGTCCCTAAATATTCCAAACCGGAAACACTTCACACAAGGTGTAACAGTGCACACACAGTTTCCCTCACTGGGCAAAGCCTTTGAAAAAAAAAACACCCATTTATCCTCTTTAATGTATACTAGGGATGGGTCTTACATGCTGTTCTTTATAGAAAAATAATTTTTATGAGACTAACCTTCAGAAAAAATATTCCATATTAATAAGGTTTTGCTGTCTTCTGAAATGGAGTATTTTATTGATGTATAAATCCACATAATTAAAATATACATTGTTATGGAATGAATTGTATTGTCCTCAAAATTCATTTTTTAAGATCCCAATGCTAGTACTTCAGAGAGCCATTGTAATTACATGGAGACTCTTTGGTGAGGTAATTAAGTTAAAATGAGGTCACACGGGTGGGATTTATGATGTAACTTCAGAAGACATTAGGACAGATTCCGGGGCAGGATGTAGGAAGATGGCATCTAAAAGCCACAGAGAGAATGCAGAAGAAACTATTCTTGCCACATCTTGATTGTGGGCTTTCAGACTGCAGGCTCAGGAGAACACACATTACGTTGTTTAGTCTGGGTGCTGTGCTATGGCAGCCCTGGCAAACCATAAGTTTGTCTACACGTGTCTGCAATTCCTAAGTGGGGAAAGGCTTACAGAGAGAACACAGCTGACTCCTTTTAAAGCATGACTTTCTGCTGATGTTTCTCCAACAGGAATTTACTAAGAGCAAAGGCAATGCTAAACAAGAGTCCAGCAGCCCTGATCTCAAGCAAAGAGACAAAAGTAAGAAGTATAATTCAGTCCTGATGCATTGATAATAAACTTACAATTTGATATTAAATATGTCCAAATTTCTGTGGCTTTTCACATTCCATATTAATCCTTACAACTCAGCAAACATTCTAAGTGACTGACATTCTATAGAATCATATATGGTAATGAAAATGTACTCAGAGGCCAAAGCCGACCAGATTGCGGTGTCACAGAGCACAGAAAGCTCACACATGAATTCAGATTCCAACTGTGGCTAACCTTGAGAAGCTATCATCTGTTGGATTTTTGTAACAGTTGTCTGAAAAAGGTTGTTAAAATACTCCTTTACGTTTTTAGTTACATATCAATTAGATTATTTTCACGTATCAAATAAAACCTTATGTTTGAAGAGACTGAATGCAGAAACAGATGGAGAGAACCTAGCTGCTTTAAATCCATCAATAAAGGCTTTACAATATTATAAAACAACAATACTGTTGACACTCTTGTCCTGAAAAGTCTGCTTTAATTAAACTCTGCTATAGTCACAAGGTTGCAATGAACTCATTCTTGTTATTGTAGATCAAACATGTAAGTTTTAAGGTAACTTCTCAGCTTTAATTTCTAATACAGTAAACACTGGTAGTGACCAAACACAGCAACTCTTACTGGGCACGGTGCTGTGAACCAGTGATTCCATACTAGCCTCGCAGGGCAGGAGGATAAGAATGTAGGACAACCTGGGCTACACAGTAACACCCCGTCTCAAAGGGGGACTGGAGAGTTAGGACAACCTGGGCTACACAGTAACACCCCGTCTCAAAAACAACAAAAAGGGGGTGTGTGGCACAGACCAGTAATCTCATAATCTCAGCTTTGAAAGGTGGAGGCAGGAGGATTAGTCAGCTAGCCACAGCTACTTGGAAGAAAGTGTGGGCGACAGAGCCCCTGTCTTTAGTGACCATCTGCCCACCCGACAACAGCAATAATAACAGAGTTAGAGGTGAGGCTGAGGGGTAGGAAGAACACTTGCCTGCCACGCTCAAGGCCCTGCCTGCTTTCCACCAGCAGCCCACTGTGGAAGGGCCCTGACTCCCACAGGTGTTCTCTGACATCCTCACGGGTGCCAAACTCATACAGTCATAGATGAGATAAAATTTAAAAACCTTGTTTTTGAGGTATAAAATCGATACGCAATTAAATGCCTGTGAAAAAGTGAAAAAAATGTGGAAGAACGAAGAAGACAACTTTGATTTCTGGAGACCTGGTGTGTTTGAGTGTTTAGTGAGGACACAGACTGAGCAGAGCGCATGGTAAGAGCACTAACGTCCTGAATACAAAGTCAGAGATACAAAACCAACAACAAACTTCCAATTCTGCTTTATGGAAGAAGAAAAAAAAAACACAAGAACTGTAAAATTTGTAATAGAAACTCAGTAGACTGATATTGTGGTGTGACTTTTAACTACCCAAATCTTATCAATAATAGAGGGAAATGAAGGGTTATTAGTAATTATTAATAGTAAGCTATTTCCATACATGAACAGATAGTTTTTGATATGTGGTAACTATAGTTAATGGGGCAAATGTGGTAACACACTGGAAGTCATCCACAATTGACAGCTGTGCCGCCGTGGCCCGTGGTCCTCTCACTGACTTCTGCTTCCACAGAGCCAAGAATGCTAACAACTGTGCATGCAAGTAAGCAGGTTCTTGTGGAGTATCGCTCTATCTCACCTAAAACATCTAACCAGACACTTCATTGTTAAGGCTGTAAATTCTAAGGATAACATTCAAAATTAATTTCATTTTACACAAGTTTGCATGGAGAGAAAATATCTAATTCTACTTGAGCTGACTTTTCTCTTGGTTTAACTTTCACATGAAAATAATTACACAGTCTGTTTGGAAAAGTATAACCAACCCTCAGGCATGCAATATCACTTTATCTTATGAGAATTCCTCCATGTTCCAGTTCCTTCCTTCCTTATTACATGCTGTGAAAGCAGCAATAATTTTTATAGCCAAGTATCACTTCATAAGATACCAGGTGGCTTTCAATATTTACCATATAAGTCATGCATGAAATTTAAACATTACAAAAGATGACTTACCAGTTGACACTCCTGAAATATGCACATTTTCAGAAAGTTCTGCAAGAGTCCCATTTCCTAAAATTAAACATAATAAATAAACTAATTTCCAAGGTAAAACTCAGAAAAAATTCACATTCTTAAGAGAAAACTATTCAGAATGACTTTCAATTATCAGAAACTCAATTTTTATAACATTGTACAAGAAAGAGTAAGACACGACATTTTGGAAATTACAATACAGTGCAATGCAGAGATCTCTCAACCCCAGAGAGCCAAGTGCACCAGCAGGAGCCATCAGCTACAGATCAGCAGGAACCGAGCTGACTGAAGAAGTAATGGAGTTAAGACACACTGTTCAGAGCCTGTCCCGTGATGCCCCAGTGCTCTAGTTTATCAAAGGTCTTCTGTTGTCTTGTATATCTTTCAACCTTTCCCTCGTGGTTTTAATAGTTATATTTCTCACTCTGGAAGCCACTGATTTCTACACTTCCTTCCACAGAAGCCGAAGGAATTTGCCAAGTGCCACTGCCACCTACTAAGGTGTCCGCTCCCTCAGATTAGAGCAAATGGAGTCCCTTCAGGTATTCATGTTGTAGGAGACATTTTCACTTTATTATAAATCATTTTCCATCAAATATCATCCTCCCCAACACTGTTGTTTGCCTGGAGACAAATCCTGGATCCTGCGCTTGCAGGGAAAACACTCTACCACTAAGCCATGCCCAGCTCTTTTTTGAAGCCAGTTGAGTAAAATGTAGGATGTGGAAGCAGAATTATTTCAGACTGAACATGGAGAAAACAAAACTGCAAGACTGTAACCAACAACCTTCCTTTTCTGAGTGCTACACTTCCAAGATTAGGGATCATCGCCCAACATCCTACTTCATACACAACACTCCAGGATTAGGGATCATCGTCCAACATCCCACCTCATACACTACACTTCCAGGATTAGGGATCATCACCCAGCATCCATCTCTACCTCATTAAGAGGTGTAAGAAGAGAGTCTGTTTATTTGGCAACCCTGGGAACCATTTTTTTTTAACATATCCTAGATCAGAAGAGCAGATGCTCAAAACATTGACAGATGACTACATAAGAGATGTCATGATTCCTAAGATGAAACCATGTCATGACACATAACATTGAACAGTTACTCATTTTTTCCCAACTGGGCAGAGCACAGAACTCCTACTGCAGAGTGAAACAACCCCAGCATAACCAGCTCAGTCCCCACAGCTGTGTTCTCAAATGAGAGGAACTGCTTCGGCCCCTTGGTTAGAAACAACGCAACAGAATGGGAGAAAGCAGGGACGTGAGACATTAAATACACGAGCAAACCTGGCTATGCTTATTTTAATCACTGTGTTTCATACCACATGAGCACCATTTGTTTTTGCCCAGCAAAGCAAATCATACACGTGGAAAGCTAGAACCATTGGAAAGATCCTGTCCACTTCTTCACCACACACAACTTACTCATTTTAAAGGAAGAAGAAACACATTTGCTAAGCAACCACAGTTTGTCAAAGGGCAGTATCCACTGCTCAGACCTTCGCACTCCAAGCAGAGGAACCCAGGTGAAAGCTGTGTAATTGGAGCAGCACCATGGTGTGGGCTTGGGTACATGTACAAATTACAGCTGTGCTTCTGATATCCTTGAAGGAGAATAGAAAACTGTGGATTTTAGTGCTAGACCTACGTTACATGAAGTCTTTTTCCAGAGCAGTAAACATGAACAGGCTGAAGGAAGAAAAGTGGCACATTGGATTTCAGATGAGGTGGCCAAACATCTAACACCAGCTCCATCACCTGGTGTGCAGGCTAGTGTGTTACCTGCATACATGTGCACGTCTACACAGACTCTGACAGGTCTACAGTGTGTAAAACTGTAAACTCCAGGAACAGGGGCTAGACAGGCATGCTCTGCACATTTAAACAAGGACTGAATTTGCCATATATAGACACAGATTTCTTTAAAAATGTTATTCATGCTATGTAAAATACCGAAAGACAAGTGAGCAAATGTTATCGCCTTTCGTTCTAGGTGAACAATACGTGGCATTGCTCAATGCTGAAAATGTCAGATTTCAGAGAAGCATCGTGCTATCAGAAACCGCTAACACCCTCAAATAGAAAAACTGGTCCTGCTTCTTTCCTATATACTCATTCCTGTGTGGACACAGTCCTTCCCAGAAGTCAAAAAAAAAAAATGGTAATCTCTGTTCACACTGAACATTTTGTTGTTACCTCAGATGTTTCTGACTCACATCAGCTGAACCGGATAACTTAATTTAGGTGTCCTGCTATCAAAAATATTTTAACAAATGCATCACTTAAACTTCCATGTTATCAGTGACAACCCAAAGGAAACAGTTCTGGGTCCTCCCACGTCAGGAAATGAACACCATAGATGTGAGCGCACACACGCGCGCGCACACACACACGCGCACACACACGCTACCTTCTTCACTGTGGCAGCAGGACTCAGTCTCTACAGAGTCTCACGGAATGCTAGCCTTACTGGTAGCAAATATTGGAAACAGGAAACAGTGTAATAAATATCACTTCTCTAACCACACACCAGCAACCGGCTAGTTAAAATGCCAGCCAATGGAGCGGGTAACACCTAAAAGGTTTTGAATGTAAATTTCACTGGTACCTAAGTCTTCTGACGTATTTTGTTTCTAGTATCACTAATTCAATACTACAAGGGGCTGATGGTCTTCATTTCACTAAATAATAAGAAGGGTTAATGGTTCCCATCTCACAAACTAGACAGGATTAATGGTCCTAACTAAACACTTTGTACGCTTCTGGAGTTGTGACAACCAGGAGGGAAGTCGTGTGACGCTCAGGTATGTGTGGTGATGCCATAAATTCCAGTACTGACTGCTGGGATCCGACCCCAGCTCTGTGGCATTTAGACACTGACATTAATCGGACGACTTCTTGAAAGCCTGGCTTGTTCACTTGTATAAAGTGGTGGTATTATAAATAATGCTTATATTTATGGTCTCTCCATCTGGTGGTTTCTTTCTGTTCTCTCTTCATTCAGTAGCTAAAGCTCTTGAATAAAAACCACACCGAAGGGTTGGCAGCTATGTGCCAGCTAACTCCTAAATGCCTTGCAAGCATCCGTTAAGTGAGCCCTTAACATTGAACAGTCATTTTACGTATGAAGAAACCAGAGCTTCTTACATTTTAGTAGCTTTCTCTTCAGAGCAGAAACTGCGTAGAACCCTGGACACAGTCATTAGTCACTAAGACATCTATATTGCTTACTTTAGAGACGAACTCAGGCTCTACATCAACTCCCACGGTGTATTTCTCACTTAAAAACAAAGGGCCCAGACATGGACGCACTTCCTGTTTATGAAAGAAACAGTGCTTAACTCTTGGAGTTAAAACCCATTGGAGACAGCGACCCCAGTCCAGATGGACACGCAGCCTTAATGAATGACAGCTCATAATAGTACATGCTTGGCGTCCTACAATTTCTTTCCCACCATGTAGAGAGCAGTTATGAGACTTAACCACACACACACATGCACACACACACACATTTGCAAAAACAAAACAAGCAAACCAATATGGTTTGTCTTTTACTATATTTAAAGAAAAAGTTTAAAATCCTAGTTAGGCTCATCAAGCTCTCCAGACTGGTTCTACCTGTAAAATCTCATCTGATTTACATCCTCATTCTGCCTTTCAATTGCAGTAATGAGTTTGCTCTAGAACCGTATCAGAGGTCCTGCTGTACTTGACACCTGGTGGAGGTGACTTTGATTCCCTGCACCGGGTTAGGCCAGTCTGCAGTGGGCTTCTATGACGTTAGTACACTGCTGAACATGCAGGCCCCTTTGTGCTTGCTGCGGGGCATTTACAGACCTCCACTAGGTCCTACTCTTGGGAGGGGAGTCGTGGGCAGCAATGGTATAAAGCTGGGTTCTGCTATTTTTCCACGCACAGAACAAGACATAAATAGGGATATGCAGTCTTTCTCTAGCTGGCTCAAATAAAGAACCCGTGACATAGGAATAAGAGTTAGGCCAAGTACTGGCCCCAAAGGGGCTGGCAGTCTCTTGAGAAAACTACTCAAAAATACATGAAATAAAAGCAAGGAATGCAAGTGTCCTACTCATAGAGGGAAATGTTAGGGACTTTCTGCCAAAAGTAAGACTCGGGGATGGGGTGCACACTCTAGTTCCCATACCAGGCAATTCAACTGGTAATTCACAGACACTGAGAACTGCAAAAGAAACGCCAACCTGTATCTGTAGATTATGTAACTGCACATCTATTTGGAAAATTCTGGACTATAAAAAGAAAAATAGCTATGGGGAAAACCAGTGAAGGGTTGGGACTTGAAATGAGCATACACACACACACACACACACACACACACACACACACACACACAGAAAATAAGCGAAAATAAGAAACTCACACATAAGCCTCCCCCTACAGGTCATGACAAGAACTGGAATAATCCACCAAGTCCCCACTGAAAGCTGGGGTAATGGTGACTAAAACTCAGGTCTAGATGGCAGTCTGTGATGTAAGACGGCAACTGCCGGGACCAAAGGGACAACAAGGTGGGTTCTGTTACTGCACAGGCTTTCTGCCCGGAGAGCTCCTGGACCAGGAACATCCCGGAAGGACGGGGAAATCTTGTTAGGCCAAGGGAACAAACTGGGATTGAGAGGTAGCAGTAATATTAAGTACATGTAAAAACAATTACCCACCTCCCCAAATGTGTATAAAGGCCATCAGGGTCCTAGGTCCATTAGGTCCTAGACTAACCTGCATGTGTGTACCATGAGTCTTCCCAAGAGGACAGATCAAGCCTTGCTACAAGGTAGAAGTTACACTTCTAGTTCACCCAATTAAAGTTCTTTCAGGTGTGGAAAAGCTCTCAGGCGGAGTATTGCAGACGATCGCCCGGGTATCACCAGCCATTAGAACATGCACAGCGCAGTGGGGCTGACCGAGTGCTTTACTCATGGTTAACACTCCTATCCCTCTCCAGGAACTTCTCTGAAACCTCCCCAATGGCTCAGTGTTAGGTAAG